AAATGGTAGACAAATTGTTGGACCGTGGATACAATTTGAATAAAGCAATCAAGGTAATGTTGTGTTACTGATGTTGCAAATCCTTCATTTTAAATACAAAAAATAGCTATTTGCATTTTATTATTAACATTTAAGTTTATTATTCCTTAACTTGTTAATATGTGAACAGTTTTAAATGGTGTCTATTGTTTTGGATTTAATTAAAAAACTCTAGAGCAATTATAATTTTACAAATTCTTCTTCGCGTTTTACATGTAGCCTGTGCTCTTTCTGGGCTGGTCACTGTATTTTCATTTGCTTCATGAAATTCCTATTGTATATTTTAGTAACCCGAATTGTTCATTCGATTATATAGCTATAGTCCCCTAAAAACCATTATCAAAACATAAATCTGGTTTCTTTTCTCAATAACGGACTAGCATTTTTATGCTTTTCTAATATTTTATTTTAGGATGGCCTGATTTTTATCGTTGACTACAAAATCCTGGAAGGAGTGGCAACAATGAACAAACCAGAAGACAAGCGCTATATCAAACCGGCTATGGGGTTGTTATATCTCAGGAACAACGATGACATGGTGCCTATTGCCATTCAATTAGATCAACAGCCTGGCAAGGGCAACCCGATATGGACGCCTTTACAAGACACGGAATGGGACTGGATCATGGCAAAACTTTGGCTTCGTTGTGCTGACACACAATATCACCAGGTAAACCCCAACTATACAAAATGTATTCATTTCTTTGTTACAATATAAGTATAGGTAATCATGTGATGGCGAGCATAGTTAGGGATTAATCCCAGGTAGTTGAACGAGCTACATCGCTGTCGGCACGATTACTTGTTTGTTATGAGCATGACAAAATTGTATAATTCTTAATGTCAACATCATATTCTCTCGCCAAAGCCCAGTGCTGCCAGACATTCAACCAAAATTTGGTGCGTACGTATTTTCATTTGGTTGTTTTGCTTAATATTCCTCTAGGGTAATACAATTTGTATTTAAATACTTTTCCGCCATTTTGTTTGTTTTGGGAAAATCATAAATTGTACTGCAGTACAATTAATGAAATATTTGTACTCCTCTCGACCAATCAGCATCCAGTAATTTTATCATGGTAATAATAAGTAGTTTTAAGCCGAAAAATAGAAAAATGCGGTTTTTTAGCCACTTTTTCTATTCAACCGTATATATCGTACCGAATCGTAGCGTATTTCTTTGTTTCCTGAGCACTAGAGTGGAACTGATGTCTTCGACACAAAAGAAAATGCTACGATACGTTACGATACGGTTGAAGTGGAAAACTGGCTTTACTTCCTAATTTCATGTTTATTGGCAAACTTCTTGAAATTCCAAATAAAATAATATTAGGTAATGGAAAATTCTTTTTCTCCATAATTCCTTCGAAATTCTTCCGTCCTATACATCTTAAAAACTAAGATTTCAACCTCGTGTTATTCCACAACTTTGTTTTTAGTGCAGTATATGTAATAAAATCTAAGAAATCTAACAGATAAAAAACCAACTTAAAATTCAAATATTTAGAGTAACGGGGAAAGCTACAAGGAATCAGCAGCCAAAATGTGAGATAATAAAATCTGAGATGAAAGTGTCTTTGAATATATAGTTATAAACATTCAGGCAACATCATAAAATGGGACTGACTTTATATTAATTTTGAAATCAATGTGGTTTCTTTCCACCTGATTGGCTGTTATATACCTGCCTCGTCCCCAGGCGCTAGTATAAAAATAGGTACGCTAAGCGTACATGTATCTGCTCATGGTGATTGCACTGTTGCCAAGGGCTTCAATCAATACTAAGTTGCTTGTAAAAATTTTAAAGGACTGATGTTTAACAGTTGACCATTTAAATAAAGTTAGATTTATAGTATGTCAGATGAAAGAAAAATAAAATTGCTGATATATATTCAACTTGCAGAAACTAATTCTTCACAAAAGCCATAACTTCACAAAGATGATATTCAGTTTTATGATATACTTGTTGAATCATCTTAGTTTTATAATGTTCTTGCCGGCATGGATCCAGTATGATCTGGTAGGGGGGGGGGTGCTCTGCAAGCTTTGTTGCCGAGTTGTGTCTGTCATGTGTGCCGCCTGCCCATCAACTTGCTTTGCTACTGCAAAGTCTTGCTTGTCTGCAGTATTTGAATTGTAATTGTTGTTCACAGTTCGCTTATCATCATATTATTACTCAAATTACTGTATCTCTTTTTGTCTCCAATGATTTTTGATTGGCTTTATCATGAAAAATAGCACCTCTCCTCCTGGCCACGGTACCCCCCACCACGCCCCCCCCCCGCCCCCAGTAAATGCATCCCTGTGTTCTTGTTAAAACATTTCGGGTTCCAAATCTTCTTGATGGTTCATAATAAACTTTAGCAGACATGCAAGAACATTGTAGATGCATAGAAGTTGTCAGGATAACAGGTGGTGCCAATATACATTTGCAGAGTTTTGAAAGCCTTTTTATACCATAATTGATACATAACATCAACATTTCTGCTGTTTATAATTGATCTATTTCATTTTAGAAAATGTCATTGTCAGGGTTGATGGCACACAAATCAACTGTTCATGCAGAGGCGCCGGAGAATCGATAATAGCGGGGGCAGATATTCATATATTCGTGTTCACAGACTGTAAAAACAATCGATTTCAAAAGAAATTAATTAGGCAGAACACGAATATATGAATATCTGCCCCCCCCCAATTATCGATTCTTCGGCGCCTCTGTGTTCATGCCTAGTAAATATATCAAATAAGTCATATATTGAAAGTCATTCATCAGTAACAAATGATGACAAGTATGGAAATTAGAAGTATAATCGATGCATATAGTTCTTGAATAGAATGATATAATTCAGCGTATCAGACCCATGCAACAATATTTTGTTGTGGAAGAAAATCCAATAAACAGAATATTATCTTAATTTTCTACATTGTGCTATAAATAAGATCCCATTATGACATATGGTTGTTGTTGATTGTAAGACAATATAGTATGGGATAGGGGAAGGGGTATATAAATTGCTTACCTGATGTTCTTGGCAATGACATTCACTTGGAGAAATCAGGGTGGATGAAGAAGGGAGCACCCCCTCCAGGATATATATATATATATATATATATATATATATATATATATATATATATATCTATTTATATATATATATATATATATATATATATATATATATATATATATATATATATATATATATATATATATATATATATATATATATATATATATATATATATATATATATATATATATATATAATTATATACTGCAAGTTGATAATTATGACTGGTTGCAACTGTTACTATAAGTATTGATATTCCAATCTAAAGCTGAATCTCTGCTCTTTATATATGCAGCCACTATTACTTTGGCTTTGCGTAATGAAAGCAATTATTCAATGCGCATACTGTGCATATACTGTGTATTCAATGCACATACATGCATGTAAGTGCTTAAGAGAAATGTTTCCAATATGTGTGACCTAGCTTCTGACTCTGCTAAATTTGCATAAAAATGATCTATCAAAGTCTGCTTGTCTGTGATGAAAGCAGACACCATTTGTCTATAGTTATGATCATTGATAAAGAAATTATGTAACTTTACGAAATTATATAGCCAGTATTGGTTTCATTCAACTAATTTATATTAATTAAAGTCACCAATGAAAATGTTAAATTGAGAAGTACATAAACATCAAGACTTTCAACTCGATATACACCTACAATGGCAACATGTGGAAGAGTCTTTGCTTTTATAGTTTCATAATAGTATTCTCAATGCCATTAGTCGACAAATTTCTTGTCAAAAATTGCGAATCATTTCGTTTCCACTAGCTGCGTATTAAATGATGAAACCCTTCAAATGCTTGCCAAAAATGCACTATCGACATTTGCCATATTCAGACTAGTAGAATGACGTTGTTTTGACAGCGTTTGATGTATAATTTCAATCGTAATTCACAAATTTCCCTTTGTTTCACCCTTCAGTAAACTGCCATTTTGAAATTGTTATCATTACGTCATTTCATCCATACGCTGTCGCTGATTGGCTATGAGCACGCTTACAAACTTCCGGTACGCGCACGATAGCAATATATCTGCATTCGCAGATACAAAAATTTCATGCGAGTCACTATATATGAAAGGTTTACATGAAGTAGTGCGTCACATTATAGGCGCGCAAAGGGGAGTGGGATGTTAGCTTTCTGGTTAGCGCCTGGCCGATCTTGTATAATAGCTGTTAAACATACAAGAGTAAACAACAGATTTAAATATAAATCCCTTCATGTATATCACCAGAAGGAAATAAAGCTATCATTATCTGAATTATTCAAAATATTGTCGATCGTTTGCATCGTGGGCGATTTTTGCTGCGAATTTAGTTGCGATTTTCTCCACTTGGAGGATGCATATGTAAAGGAGTGGATGAGTTATAAATGTTCCAGGTTATGAAATCTCATAACAACATTATTAATTTAAGTAATCTACTCCTGCATAACCTCCAAAAGGAGAAAATCACAAGCAAAATCGCAGCAAAAATCGCCTGTGTAAACGGGCCTTGAGACGAATCTTGTAAATGCAATACAAACTTAAAACTAAAACTATAGAAAATACATGTTTGCAGAAACCCTCGCCTTGCCAACAAAACCGAAGTATTTAAAGTATTTGTCATGGTAACACGATAATAGTATTAAGACTATTTTATAAATGAAAAGTCGCCTAAAAATATCACTTCTAATTACAAAATTATCAATTTCCCAATTATAGAAGAAGAAGAAGAAGAATTTATTCGCACCAGTCAAAAATACATAACTACAATTTTTTCCACACATTATTAAAACAGAGTTGGCACAGGATATCTGAAGTAGCTTTAACACTAATCGAAGTCAGATAACCTTATTAAAGTATTCGAGCCACTGTGGGTCAACATTGGGTTTAAGGTCATGGTGCACAATGATTATACAGATACAAATTCGAATTTATAGACATATGTAAAAACAAAAGCAAGCATAAAGCCAGTAATCATTAATTATAAATTTGATTTTAGTTAATTTGAATGCAAATTAAAACGGAAATAAGAATAAAAAATAAAGCTAGTATTCATTAATAAATTTGATTTTAATTTTTTTTTTGAAAACTGATTTAGTTAGTATTTTCAAGCTATCATCTATATCAATAACAATTATACCATGAGCTCGAGTCGTATATGAGCTGATAGCCGACGAGGTGCGTAGCACCGAGCCGGCTATCAGCCATATACGACGAGAGCGAATGGTATAATTGTTTTATAATATTCTCTAATAGCCATTAACTGAATCAATAATTAATATCCTCTGTTACAATGTCTTGACAATTTGTTCGGCAAAAAACCGCTTGGCCTTGAAAATTTGAAATACTTTTGTTTTACAACTCGAAGACGAAGTGAAAGAAATGGTTTTAGAACCGCACAGAAAAGCTCAGATATATTATACAGATGTTTCGTAGTATAGTAAGTGCTTGTTGACTGCAAATTCATTTGTCTTTCGTTGCAAACTTTTCTGAACAATTTATATTCTCATGCAATGAACATGTTTTCTTCGCTCTTGTTTCGGTATTAATTCTTTAAAAAACTTGTATTTAAACTAATTTCTATGCAATAAATGTGTTTTGCTAAACTGTCAAACTTTTTTGAGAGTTTTTCCTTGTATTCTTATCTTTCTCAAAGTCAAAATTTGGTCAGTGTCACCTTATTTCCTCTCGGTGATGCTTAAGTTCTATGAGACACTATTTCCGCATTCTCAAAATTGCGTTGCTTTTTCATACGATACAGATTAAATCTGAGAAGAAATTTTCATGCTATGATGATGCAAACATGTATTTAACAGTTAAAACTCTAAACTAAATCTATTCTTCTTGGAACCAGCATTTTATCGGATTGTTTGCATGAAATCTATCGCTATTATGAAATACTCGGTGAAGAAAAATATGAATTACACACAAGATGGCTGTGGAGGACGTATGGAAAGGCATAATCTCATTATCAAGTAAATCAACTGCAATTCTGACAGCAATAATGAGCAATTCTGCTTCGCACTTTGGGGGCAGAAATGGCTTTACTGGGGCGGGGGGGATTCTTTCCCTGCCCAGATATATAGTTAAAAAAGGCACTCAAGTTTTATACATGTCAAATAACATTCCCACTTTCAGTCGCATTTCTATCGTGCTTAGTTTGAAATCTTTGGGGCTTGATGCAATTCATTTATCGTTAGGCTATGTTTTTCAAACGTTTTTGACAGATTTTTTTGTTTAAAAATTGTTTCACTCCTCGGTTTTGCCGCGAAAACCAGAGCGGGCAGTTGCATTTCACAGCGGGCAGTTGCGTTTCAGAGCGGGCCGGATGCAAAAAACCGGCCCGCTCTGAAAGGCTCCTCAGCCAATCAAATTGCTTCATTTTCACTGATAAAAAATAATGGTATGTTATTATACGTAAAGCTTTAATTTAAGTTAAAATTCAACAACAAACGCTTCGCAAAAAGTTTTAAAGATTAAAGTTATTTGCAAAAATAAACTGCTTTTATCAACATTTTAATATAATAAAAAAGGGTCATCATTAATGAATAAAGATACACTTAAATTATATCCTGTCTTTTCTATTTAAAATTTACGCAATTATAAAGCAAACAATACATCAATATTTTAAACAAACTTACCTTACCTAAACTTACCATTACAAGATCGGAGGGGATGACCACCGACGCACAACGCAACCCACGCCTGCGATCATTGACGAACTTTAGACAACGCTGATCTTCCTTTCCCCAGGGATAAATAGCCGGAGAGAATTAGTACCCTCGCCCCGAGCTTACGCCCGGCTCGGGGATGAGTATTAATCATCGATGTTAATACCTTTGGTTGCTTCAGTATTTTCAAATAGAACAGAAATAATAAATTGCAGAGGGAATGTAAAATATTAAATAAGTTTCTCAAATAATAATGGGCAAACTAGGATCAAAATCTTCGGTCAAACCTTGTGAAAGTACCATCAAGAGAATCTTTAAACTGCTACTTGGAAAACGATGTAAATTCTTTCATCAAAGACTCGTAACACGTATAATACTTTCTCAAATTCATTAATAATTCATGAGCAATTCAGCCAATGATAATCACCTATTTGATCACAAGATGCCATTTGGATATCCCGGGGAAACTTGATGAAAGTCACTAGTTAAATAGAATCCCGAATTACGTTATGCTTGGTTAAGAATTCTATTCAAATCAGCAAACGAAAACATTCTGTTACGTCTCGATTCATCTGAGAAGCCATATAAACAACTCGAGCTCGTGTCTCACTGGGATATCCAAACACTCGTAAACAATGTATGAAAACACTCGCGCTTCGCGCTCGAGTTTTTTTATACATTGTTTTCTCGTGTTTGGATATCCCGGTGAAACACTCGCTCTCGTTGTTCATTATTACGTCAATAACACGTGTGTAATTGTCTCATAGTTATGAATCTTAGTATTAAATCGTTTAAAATGTTTAATTTGCTGTTGTTCGAACGCATAAAATTTAATACAAAGTGAAATAATTAAAAGTTCACCTTGTTTTCTTGTTACTACCATGAGGCATTTAGGGAGGCACCGGAGGTGTTTTTTAAACAAAAGCGGTTCTGGTTTGCAAAAATATGTAAGATTTCATGCGTTTGATTTCAGTCCAAATTGGGCTCCAATTAGTTCAATTAATATAGATTCCAAATGATTTAACTGTAGATGATTACGCATCTTCTTCGATGTCACTTAATGATGGAAGCACCTGCCGTGGCTTCTTGGCGTAATCTTTCATCTGTTCACCCAGTCTGGAAACTTCTTTATTCCCACACTAAAGGAATTATGGCGATCAACACTCTTGGTCGAAACGACTTGATCCCCGATGGTGGTGCAGCTGATAAAGTTCTCAGTATTGGTGGTGGCGGTCAGGTAACCTTGATGCAGAAGTTCTACCAAAGTTTTACATTTGATGGTTATGATTTGATCAAAGATCTCACGGAACGGGGTGTTAAAGACTTGCGCAAGTTTCATTACAAAAACGACGCTGTGCTTCTCTGGACCGCTATTCAGCAGTTCGTGCAGGATATTATATACATTTACTACAATGACAACAAACAAGTCCTAAAGGTTAGTATGTGTTATGTATGCTATTAAAATATCAATGTGCGACAAAAAGCGAAGTATTAAAATGATGTACGATTTTCCGATGTAGCCTACCCTACATTATTTGAGAAACTAATTATTACACCTATACTGTAACAGTCTGTTTCATCCGTATAGGAATCATCAGGTGGTGAATAATTTCGAAATTGCAGGTTGCTTTTATGCTATCGAAAGAATGTGCGGAATGCGTGTAGGCGAAACAATGCTTAGAAGAAACAATGCATGCTTGGGTCATTAGGTTTTGTTAACGACCTTATTTACTCGAAACCGGTTTGGTGACGACATTTGCCGAAAATTTGGCTTCTTTGATTGAGTAAATTGTCTTTGTTTATGTCTTTCAAAATGCAAAATTTTTCTTCCAAACATAAATTGCAGCGTTTTGATCCCCCTGTGTACGAAATAGCGTGTTTTAAAATTGACCATGCATTTGATGGTATAATCCTGTTTCTTTTAATTTCCAAATATGTTTCGAAAGTTCTGTTTTGTTTGAGTCTTTTTTATGACGAAAAGATGAAGTGTGGTTAGCGTAACGTTCCTTAAATGTAGTCGCTGTCATACCAATGTAGTGTTTAGTGTCGTTCGTGTTGTTCGTTGTGACTGTGGCTTTGTAAATAATGTTGTTGGTCACACATTGTTTCGGTAGTGGGCAAGTGTTTTTGTTGTCGCAGTTACAGTTGTCAGTTTCCGTATTCTGTGATTGACTGTTCCTAATTATATGTGCGTTGTGTTTGATGATTATAGACTTAACGTTGTTTATGCAACTGTACCTTACTTTTAAAGTGTTTCTGTTAAAAATCTTGTGTAGTTTGTGCTGTAGTGGGAAGTGTTTGTCAATTAAACTTAAGAATTCACGTCCTATGTTCGTGTTAACACTCTTACTAAATTGTGGGTTGAACCAAATTATGTTGCGTTGCCTATTCCTACGTGTCCGTTGCGGTGCATCCCGAGTGTACGTAAATTCATGATCAAAGTTACTATGTGTAAGAGCGTTCTGGTAAATAGGTGTGGATTCCTTAAATGTTTGTTCGTCCGATGAGAGAAGTACAATTCGTTTGTTGATAGCTGTAGGTAATTGTCTTGTAATGCTTGGTGGATGGTTTGAGTGTCTGTGGATGTATAATGGATCGTCAATAGGTTTCCTGTATGGTTTGTGTTTTGCGTTGATCAGGTCGAAAGTAACATCTAAAAAATTTACAACGATCATCTTTACCTCGGCGGTGATTTTAAGGTCAAATTGCTCGAAAATTTTGTGTATCTCTTTTCTAGTTTTGTCTAGTAAACGGGCGGATTTGCTTTTTATAATAACCAAACTGCATCATCTCTATAAACGCCGATGTTTTCCTTGCCAAACCTCTTACCTAAGTGATTTAAAATGAAAAGGCCTACCAGCTCACAAATTTCAGCGCCGTTGAAACTACCCATAGTGACGTCAAATAAACTGTTGCTTCCGTCTTTTTTTGTCCATAATTTGCCGTTGCCGAAAAGTAGAGATTTTCTTGCATGTTTTATTATTGAAATATCGTTTTCGGTAATAGTAGTCAAATCCGAAGCCCAGGCCAATGCTTCATTTAAAAGTTTTTCGGAAATGGATGGGTAAAAATCCACAATATCAAATGAAATAAAACTGTGCCTGTCTTTATCGTTTACATTGCCAAACCATGAAATTACTTGTTGCGTATTCCTCCATTGATTTGAATTTAGTTTTTGTCTCAAATTGGAATTGATTTTATCTAAAATAACCTTACTTAGTTTTCCGGATTCGCTTTTTGCGGGAATATAATTAGTCGGCATTTTGGATTGTTTTCGAAATTTTCTTTGTGATCTTTTAAAGATATAAATGCTTCGCGTTTTTTCACTCGTTCAATTCTGTCGCCAATTCCTAACCTACTCGAAATTTCTTTCAATTCGGAGTCAATTTCATGTATGAAGTCCTCTGATCCATGTTTGTACGTTTTCGTGATGTTATCAAGTAAGAGTTCGTTGTATGTGCTCAGTGACGTTTCGTAAATGTTTCTAGTTTTGTCCGCGAAAATGAAAATGTTGGGGGATGATTTAATTTTCTTCAAATCGTTAGCAAAAGATGTCTGAAATTGGTCTTTAGAACGCCGGAATTTTACGTTTTCAATTAGTTTTATCAAGTCGTCTTCGAAAGGTTTCAAAAGTGGAATTGAAGGAGGCGATTTGTTAGACGAAAGGCCGAATGGATAGGTCTTCATGCCAATGACACCAGACGTGTATTCTTGTGCTCCGAATAGACCTTGAAACATGAATATGATGGGGGCCTCCTCAACCGTTTCGAACATCTTGTACAGTTATTTTAATATTAAAAGGAGCAAACTGATTTGGACTGGATCGCTCGAAACTCTGAAAGCGTTTGTCCTCACAGCGATTGACGAAGAAACTGCCGAAACAACTACATGGCGCTCGCCCAGTGGCGGTAAATGGCTATTTGACAGCAAGTTGTTATCAGTTACTTGGCTAACAAAAAGCCAGAATATTTATTTCGACGGTGAGAAGGGCAGTGACTTGATGGAACGAATACATTCATTTTTAAAGCAAGACCCGGACAATGCTTCAGAAATCGCTAATCCTGCTGAACTTGATCTAGAACGGTCGATTGAAAGTTTGCTAGCTGACGATTCTGACGATGTTTCAGATGATACTTTTGAAGAATCGTTCAGTGATCAATGTGATATTGCAAAGGAATTGAAAAACCAAGAGGAAAAACAAGCCAGTATAGATTCCGAAACCAGTACAAAGCACGATGAATCGAACACGAAGTCAAAAAATTTGCATGAAGAGTCCATTGGTCTATATACGGTGACAAAGTCTGGCAATCTGCAAACAAAATCAACAAATAGGCATAATCCCTTGGGAAGTAGTGCCAGCTGTAATCGCGACTCCGCTGAGATTAGTCGACTGAATTCGAAACTTGACAGATTTTCTGAAAACGTGACAAACAAATTACAAAATCTCAGCGTGGAGATAAACAACATTAAAGAGAACAAACCCTACTCTATTTTGGTTTTAGAAAACGTAGTCAATGATCTAAAGGAAGATAAGCTTGTGCTAATTAGAAAGAACGACGAACTCAGGGAACAAAACATGGATATGTCTCATATTATATCTGATTTGAAAATGGCAAACAAGAATCTGGAAAGCGAAAAGAGCAGCCTGTTGACAGCTCTTAAATTAATACAAAATGACCACCAACAAACATGCACGAAAACAATTGTGGAAAATGACGGCGAGAATAATGTGGAATTGGTTTGCGAAACAATAGAGGGAAGTGAAGTCACTCAACCAAAACCTTCATCTAATCAG